CCCTTTCTCAATTCGTGGTGTATATGCACTGGTACCATGTGTCCATAGGAGACCGGCTGTGGGTACCACTCCAATGCCTCTAGCTCTGACTGTGCAGTGTCTGCAGGTGCACTTTGTATCCTTTCCAGAAGCAGGTCCCCTCCAAGTTTAATAATTAAGATGTCTTATTCCCACCTCAATGCAGGTAAGTATTGTGGTCCTTAAAGTTCAGGGGGATTTCAAGGTTAAATAATTTTGCCAACATAACAGTCTACTGTGAAGATGACTTCTAATCTTTTATATCATGTTCCTCCTTCTCCTGCTTCTTTACTAAAACCCAGGGAGGGAGAAAAGTCTCGCTCAAGGTTCGTGCTTTTATCTGGTGTCTTTCGAGCAGCCCGTGGTGCTGGCATAGTAATATATTTTTGGTGTGATCCATTCAAGTATATTTACATCATTTAGGAAGGAAATTTTTTGTTTTGTTTTGTTTTGCAGATATACAGATCAGCTCTCAAAATGTCTTCTGTGTCTTCTGAGCGTCTTCTAAGACAATTGCATTAGCCCTCCTGCTAGTTGACTAATAGAATTAATAATTGTAAAAAGCACTCTAAAGCCACATGCCTTATGAAGTCAATGCTGGGTATGATTTTACAAGTATGTGATCTATTTTTTCAAGTGGAAATGTTAACTGGAAAAGTTCTTGGCACACAGTGAAACGTCATGCAATCTGTTACTTGTCTTAGAGATAATAGCTTGAGGGTGGGTCTAGTCTTACGGTATCTAACTTATGAGTTGTTAGGGGAGTTCCTTCCACTTAGAAGTACTGCGAATGTGCTTATATTTACATAATGTGTCATTCCGAAAAATTATGGCGATATAATTCCAATAAAAAATTATTTTTTCTCTAACTACTTCAAAGTGTAGTCAACTAAATTAGCCACGTTTTTTTTTAAAGCAACTAAAAAGACCATGCCCCCTTCCCCCTACAACAATAAAACCCAAATGACCTTTCTGATCCTTCTTTGAAGTTTTAGCAGTTTAACATTCTTTGCGATGTATATTATTAAGGACCCTATTTGGCGTAAGGAGTCAGTAAGTCGTATGGGTTTTAAAGCTCTGTTCTTGGGTGGAAGAAGGAACTGAAATTTGAAAGGATGATAATTTAATTAAACCATATTTTCTCTCAGTCACTATAGATGCTGATCGAGTCGTTTTTAAACTATGAATGACCCGTTACTTTTCTTCATTGTAACGATAAATCAGCAAGATCCATTTTTTTTGTTGTTCTGAAAAATACATTACTTTGTTCAGTTATTAACATGTTTATGACTATTCACTTTTAAGTATTTTATCTTAGTTCCCTTGCTATGTAAGATGTTACTGTTTTGCTCAGCACTCTGACCGTAATATATGGGCATTAACAGTTTTCTTTTCATTTTAATGGAAGGATGATCTTAATGAATTGGATTATTTTATCCTCTTTTCTTCATGAATCCTGCCTTTCATATAGATTTTTGTTCATTTTGGTGCGTCACTGTTAGATTTTATTTCCATGAAGGAGAAGATGGAAGATGTTAAAATGTTAAAATCTTAACGGAAAAACAAACAAACGGGAAATTCTGGAGAGAAAAGCAAAAGATACTATACCAAATCAGCACATTTTTATATGCAGGAATGGCTGATACTCTATATAAACTAGTATTTCCTTTATTGTAGACCAAGTTAAAAGAGTCTGTTTTTTACTCAAACTCTTATATTTTAAACAACTTATTTCTTAAGCTTCCCTTTTGTTCTTTTCCTCCTTTCCTTTTTTACTTCTCTCTTTGTTGACTACCCTAAGATTGGCCTCAAGGCTTTCACGTGTTGTTCCCAAGTTCTGTCTCTTCCGACAGTGGAATAGAAGTGTCCTAAAACATCAGGGTCAACAAACAAGACATTCAAATGCAAACATTAAAAGATAAATTAGTTAACCAGTGTTCCATTTTTTTAATGATGGTTACCTGGCTTCGTTAATTTTAGGAGCCGATGGTAATGACACCAAGGTGAAGAGGACATCCCCTCCCCACTCCCCTCCCCGCTCATGCCAGCCAGGTTTACATGCCTCACAACATCACCTTCACCTGAAACTTCAATCCTTCATCCTATAAATGGTTTTGCTGCTGTTGTTGTTGGTTGTTCCCTATCCAAGAGGGAGATTCCATGGGTATTGATGACTAACATCACTGGCGTATGAGAAGAGCAGTATACTTTCTTAATAAGTACAGTTATAGTATTTTTGACATTATTCAAGAAAGTGATTTTTTTACCTTGTAAACAATTCCTTATACTCTAACTAGTACATTATCTTGGTTCCATGATTCATATTGTAAAAACTGCTTGGCTAGCTTTTAAGAAGTGGAGGTATCCCCATGTATCCCACGCCAGTGTGGCTCCTCAGCACTTGTGAGACGTTATAGATGAGAACGACTAAAACATGCTGTTAATTTGGATTTTTGTAGGACACTGGAATAATCATGGTGTTACTAACTCCGTTCAGTCTGCCCTTGTGGTAGTATCAGCTAGTGAAGAGGGGTTGGTTTATTAGTCATTCACAGGTGGGTTTTTCCAAGAGACAGTTGGGATGATGGCGCACAGAGCACTTTACAGTTTTTCAGCTGGACGATTAAGGAGCACAGGCTGTGAACCTCAGTTCTCCACAATTCTCTTTGTTACTGCATTCTTTTATTGGCAGGACACAGTGTGTTTCCTATCTCTTTGTACCCTTAGAGTTCTGATTCATTAGACTCCCTTAGAGGACTTTGTCACAACGTTCTTATTCGGACCCTACTTATGATGCCATTAGCTTGAAAGGCACAGTTGAGCTACCATGTGAAGGTGAACTGTAGGAAACTGGTAACAGTTGGCCATGTTGAGCTACAAAATGACAATGCCATACGTTTCAATTGAACATTTCACGTTAGTCAATTTCTGATGTGCTCCTGATTGTGGAATTGGTACTCTTCCCACCGCACTGTGCACAGAAACCTGGGGCTTAGGTAGGTTCCCATCACGCTGGATGAAGCCCTTGTAAAACCCAGCCTGGCCTCTGTGATGTGTACTAGGCTGCCCTTCTTTTAGAAAGCTCCTCAAAGGGGGCTTAAAGTAATTCAGCAGGAGGGCAGAGATGAAACATTTGTTATCATCCATTCCTGAAAGTAAACGGGCAGTTTTCTCATTGTTTATAACATGCTGTTTCTGTCTTTTGACTATGAGGATATTTTGGTTGAAACTATATTTATATCTTGATTGCACAAAGTGTAACAATATCGAGTTTCACTTTATGTTTATATACATACATATATCATATAAATAAACACGTAATATATATTCTATAAGCATAAACGTGTATATATATTCTATAAACGTAACATGTGTGCATATTACACATCGTATGTAACACCGATAAATATAGAAGCATACATCTATCAGCTATACCTGAAGGAAGAAATTGAGCAAAAAATATAATTGCAGGCAAGAGTAACTAATAGGAAAGATAGATCTAGTAATAATAATTAATCCCTTGGTATTCATCAAACCATTTTAAACATAATAAATGAGACACTCTTCATGACAAAAATAATTCTAAATGTAAATTGTTGGCTTTAGTCTCAATTTTTCTGCTATTCTTAAAACTGATTTTTTCCCTAGAGGAGTTTTTCTTGATTATTATTATGCACCTTAAAAAGCTTTGCATAGAGTAAGTAAAATGTTCTAGATTAGCTGACATGCCAGTAAGTTGCAAATAACCCTGTATCTTCCTTTTCCTTGTATCTTTACAGATATGGTCCGGAAAAAGAATCCCCCTCTGAGAAACATTGCTAGTGAAGGCGAGGGCCAGACCCTGGAGCCTGTCAGTACAGAAAGCAAGGTATCTGGAAAGAACAAAGAACTTTCTGCAGATCAGATGTCAGAAAATACGGATCAGAGTGATGCTGCAGAACTGAATAATAAGGAGGAACCTAGCTTGCCTGTCCCAGATCCCTCTTCTAGCAGTAAGAAGGACTTAAAAAGCTCAGTCCTGAGTGAGAAGGCTGGCTTCAATTATGAGAGCCCCAGTAAGGGAGGAAACCATCCCTCCTACCCACATGATGAGGTGACAGAGAGAAATATGTTGGCTTTCTCATCTCCAGCTGCTGGGGGAGTCTGTGAGCCCTTGAAGTCTCCTCAAAGAACAGAGGCAGATGACCCTCAAGATATGGCCTGCACCCCATCAGGGGACTCACTGGAGATGAAGGAAGATCATAAGATGTCACCAAAGGCTACGGAGGAAACAGGGCAAGCGCAGAGTGGTCAAGTCAATTGTCAAGGCTCCAGCCCAGTTTCAGTGGCCTCCAAAAACCCACAAGTGCCTTCAGATGGGGGTGTGAGACTGAATAAATTGAAAACCGACTTACTGGTCAACGACAACCCAGACCCGGCACCTCTGTCTCCAGAGCTTCAGGACTTTAAATGCAATATCTGTGGCTATGGTTACTATGGCAACGACCCCACAGATCTGATTAAGCACTTCCGAAAGTATCACTTAGGACTGCATAACCGCACCAGGCAGGATGCTGAGCTGGACAGCAAAATCTTGGCCCTTCATAACATGGTGCAGTTCAGCCATTCCAAAGACTTCCAGAAAGTCAACCGTTCCATGCTTTCTGGTGTGCTGCAAGACATCAATTCCTCAAGGCCTGTTTTACTAAATGGGACCTATGATGTACAGGTTTGTGCTTTGCATTGTGGTCTCTTTGTACAGAAAGAGTTCTTAGTAGTGAACTGTGAGTTCTTGCATGCATGTTACAGTCAGCCTCCCAAGGCCAATGGGGTAGCCTGCTAGATGGAGCAGACGAGACAGACGCCTGCCGTAGCTGTTTCATCCAAATGTGTATTCAGAGTTATCTTTAGCCTCTCATCATGGAAAATAATCCCAACATTTCTATTAGGCTGGGAAAAGACTTTTCATGGAATTAGCTAGGCTTCATATTTCTGGACGTATTTCATGGTAATTTGATGTTTTCAGAGTCTTCCAAAAATGGCACTAATCTTTATGGTTCTACATGGTAGTAATTCGTGCTTTGTTCTAGTTTTAGATTGTAAATCTTTTGCTGTAGTCTTTCCTTCAGGGAGGGTCTTTCCTGTGTCTTGGATGAGGATCTGATTTTACACTCAGCCAAACTGGACTGGATTTGGGTCACGCTGACAGTTGCAGAGATGGGCTACTCAAAAGGCAATGTAATTAATTGCAAATGCAACTTTGAAAATAAAATTTTACACTGATTAAAAAGAACTTAATGGGATTGAAAGTACTAGGGACACCAGGATGATCTTCATACGGGCCAATAAAGCATTCCTTCCCTCATTTAAAGAAAATCGTGATTTATGAAAGCATTTAATAGTAATTTAGATTTTGACTTTCATTAAAACTGGCCTACCTTTTTGATCTACTTTTCTGTATTTGTTTATAGCATATGTGAAATTAAAAAAAAAAACTATTTCAAATAGAATGAAATGCAGGGCAGACTCTTAAGTAATGTATTCATTTTATTTTAAAAATTTTAACATAGTTGAAACTCATGATCAGCTTGGGAAAGCGTAGTAGTTTCTGTTAAGTCTGTAGAATTTTATTGTATTATTAGGCCAGAGATTTCAAAACATATAGGTTTAATATTAACCTTCTTTAGGAACGATTAGAAGAAGAACCAGAGAACGAATGAAAATGCATTACACTTGTTTGACCCCCTGCATCATTTAAAATATCAGTCATTTTTATCAACTCAGTAGCTACAGCACATTTGTTCTAGACATCTCTTTTGACCTAGTGCCAATTAAGAAAGGCAGGCAAAGGGGTTATAAATAACAGGTAGTGAACGTATTTTGCCATACTTGTAAGGAGAATCAGAAGAGAAATTTCCAAGTCCTTAGAAAATACCCGAGTGGCAATCTTATCACTTTAAGGGAGGTATAAAGAAGAACTCTTAAAAAGCCAGTTTCATCTTTGTAAAGCTCTCTTAAAAATTCCATCTTACTTTGTGAATTTCCACAAATAGAATGATTTCTGCGGAGCAGCAAATTAAGCCAACATAGTTATTATGCATGAAAGCTACATGCTTTGAACTGCTGTCTTATTAAAGATCATTTCACTGTCTTATGTCAGATACACTCTGCTGTCAAACTATGATTGGAAAGCAAATACGTGTTTTAGATAAAAGGGTTAGAAGTGAGTAATGTCAGCATGTGAAATGGTGTTTTATAATTAGCGAGGAATATGATGTTAATACCTGGATTTCCGGCCGGGGTTTCAGTTTGTTCACTCTGGGGACAACTTCTGAGGGAAGCTGATCTGGGCCGTCAGGAAGGCTCTAAAACGAAGATTACTGAGGCCTATAGTTTGGAAGAATTCAGATTTTTAAACACACTTCCATTTCCCCCAAATAGTTATTTGTTAGGTTCTTAGTTATTTATAGTAAAGTTTATGTTTGGGCAGAACGAGCTGGACACTTTTCCTGGGCAGTGATTTTAGAAATAAAACAGATGTGTGAGTTCTCTGAGTTTGAACTAATAGAACTAGAAATAAAACAGCTGATCCTAGACTCTGCCGTCTCTTAAATCCTTGCAGAAGCCCACGGTGCAGAAGACAGAAAATGCTAGGAAGCTGCATGTGGGATGATAATCTTGTTAAGATCAATTTTTTTTTCCCAAAGAGAAATAGTATGGCTAAAAATGGAAAATGACTGTCTATGGAAAAAGTGGGTGATTCTTTCAAAGAGACTGTTGGCTATAGAAATAAGTTGAAAGAGTTAACGTTCTTCAGTTTAGGAAGATCCCACCAAATACACTTTTTAGGCCAAATGCTCATCTTGAATACTTTACACACACCAGATGTTGTTGGTGTAGAAATGTGTCTTAAGATCGGTCACTTACTAATACTTTTATGCTGAAATAAATATCGAACAGCACCCCTAGGTATGTAAATTAAATACAAGCATATCTGAAATCCCCCTTTCTTCCCCACCTGTGTTTGGGTTGCTGAAATGTCATTTGAGAGGTTCTTTGCTTGGCACTTGAACTGTGTGGGGACTGAAAGCTCTGGGAAAAGAGACGCTGACTGTAGAATTTCTTTAATGCAGGTTTGTCCGAAATTTATAGCATGTTTGTGGCTTGCTTGGATTCTAATAAAAACATGTTGGTGAATACGAGGATTACAGACAAATAATTATTGCAAGAATTACTGATATCAATCCACAATTTAAGCTGGTTGAAGTAATAGATAACCAATTCATTCATCTTTTTCAGTTAATTTTTCTTTTTTTTTAACATTCAGGACAGTTGGTGGTTAGTGATAGATTTATGACATTTTAGGCCAAGAAAAAAGCAGAAGCTAGAAGTAGAAGACAGAAATTCTGTGGCTTTGATCTGTATTTTGATTTGACATGGATGGTTTTAAATAATTTGAACTGACCTGAATGCAAACATGATGTGTACGGTTGGGGAAAAAGAAATAATTTAAACCAATGTTAAGATTTCTAGTTCCAAGTTCAGATTATTTGAGGTATACTTGGCGTTAATAATTGAAGTTTAGACGTACTTGTACTGACAATATCCACTTCCGTGTAAATTTTATTACACATCATGAAGTCAAAGAATTACAAGTTGGTAAAAATAATGTCAAACAACCATGTTTCTTTGCACGGCATGGTCGATAAAGCCCCAGCCAGATCACGGAGGTCATTTTAAAGGGCCATCATAAAAATCAGGACCGTCGTCTCTGAGTCTGTTGAATTCAAGTCCCTCCACGCGGTGAGATAGCATACTCATCCCTGAAATCAGCAGAAGTGACAATCTTGACCAAGAAAAAGACAAGGAAAGATACAGTGACTAGTGTAGGACTAACTGACTTGATCGGCATGTAGGTTTCCCAATATTGAAATTTCCCCTGCATGTTTTACCAATTATTCTGCTTAATTAAAAAAAAATAATGGACATGGCTTGGTTGGCAAGCCCTTCCTGTAATTTTTACTACCTGTATTCAGCCTTTGAGGCTCCCATGTAGACCAAATAATAGGACGAGGGATGGAGTTCTTCAGAAAGTAATTACAGCCTCTTTCTTTTTAATCTGCTTTATTATGCTTATATTTAAACCGTCGCTGAATGGAGGCCTGCATTGTTAAATGCGGACTTTGCTGTTTCATTAGGGCTTAATGTGCTGTGCATTAGGGTGTTTGCGTCATCTTTATGGGGGAGCTCTTAGCCCTCAGATCAGGTTGTAAAAGTCGGAGTCCCGTCAAGTTGTGCTTCCCACGGGAAAGTGTTTAAGCTAGCCCAAGTTTATAAATGCCCACGACATGTATGCTGCCTTTTCATATTAGGAAACCTTTCCAGTATTTTGCATTATTCAGGACTGCAAGAAGGGAGCGACAGGATGCCAGGCTATTAAATTCATGTTGGCCTTTAATGAGATTCTAAGGTTAACAGAAGACTCTCACTATTAACTTACCAGTGACTGTCTTGTGTTTGAGCTGGGAGCACTATGTTTCTGTTTTGTAAATATTTTCATCAGAGTTGCACAATATGGCATGTTAGAAGCAGGAAGAACAGATTTTCGAGCTAGGAAGTCACCCTTTGTATTTATATTTTCAACATATTTAACTCCATGAGCTTTACAGATTGTTAATCTCTGCCCGTACATTCATTTGAACAGGGGTTACAGTTTGGCCTGGCAGAAAAAAAGAAAAAAATCCAGAGAACATTTATCTTATTCTGGTCTATTTTGACTTTTCTTGAATTTTCCTTCCAAATATTTATTTTTTGCTTTGCCGTTTTCTTTGATCTGGAGCAGGAGGGAAGTTGTAGATCTTGGTAGGTTCTGTTGCTTTGTTTTTCTGAGTTGAAGACAATTGCGCTTTAGAAGAACTGGTGAATGAGGCTTTAATCACTCCGGATTCTAGAGTACAGAATGTTTGGCATATGAACCCATACTTACTTTCAGGACTGTGTCTCTTTAACAAGTAATAAAGTGTGCAAAATAAAACATATGCTCACCCTAAGGCCATAAAAGCAAAGCAAAGTTCTGGCATTTACCAGGTTATTTCCATCGTGAAGATGGCCGAGCTGGATAATAGAGCCACCCGGGTGGAATGGAGTAGTTTGGCCATCTTCACTAATCCTTTTACCTGCATGATGGTTAGATCTCCATTTGGCTTGGTTACAAGAGGGTCAGCATGATAAATGTCAGCCCCGCTTTGATTTTCAGTTTATTTGCTATTGTTTAGAGAACACGTATCACTTTCTTGGATATGCGTATTTCTCTCTAGGCAGAATGTTTAGAAGAAGGAATCATGGTTATCAGTGCATTCAATCAAATTTAGCATTATTCAACTCTTAAAAAAATTTTTATCCTTGTCTGGCATGTTCTGTTAACCATATCAAGCCAGCAGATTATTCAGTACTTTTTGTTTCTTGGGTCATTGCAATTACAGCATATGTGCAGCTGTTGGAAACACAGATACATAAGTAGTGTGCTAACCCCAGGGAAGTTTGGAGAAGGAGAGAAGTTCTCTTTCATTTTCTGATTTCCTTTATGGAGTCTGTTTCTGAGAGTCATTAGACCTTGGTCCTCTTGGATTCTTCATCATATGGTTCTAAAATTTGAAATAAATGTTATGCATGTTCAGAGTATCAGAGAAGACCTTGTTTACATTTCAATTGAAAATCAAATGTAAAATC